CGGGGTCCAAGAGCTAACACCTCGATCTTGTAAGCACAAATAGTAAATACATTACACGTTAGAAATACAGATAAATGGCAACCTTTAGCTGGCAACAGCTGAAACCTGGATGTCTTTATCAGAAATTTTGGTAATAAGATTATTTAACACTTTTTAAGGGCGTCACAACTGTTTATATATATATATATATATATATATATATATATATATATATATATATATATATATATATATACACATATATATTAGACAAAAGTCGCGCTCTGTCGGTCTCGGGAAGGGAACTATCAGGAGAAAGCGCCAAGTTATTACGACTTGAACGCCGACCTGCAGGAAGCGAGACCGTCGCTCTACCGTCCAGCCCAAGTGGTTAGGATATTCCCGTAAAATTAAATGTACTCGCATTAGGGTGACTTCGTGAGCTCTGCGGGATCGAACTTAACTCTCCAAACCGTCGTCAATAAATTTGCCAGAAGTGCCTCAAGGTGCTTACTGGGGTTCACTTTCCCCACGGTCCGGTCAAGCAGACTGTTGAGCCCCGCCCTGATGTCAAGACGCGCCAGATAGCACATTCTAGACTATATAATCCTCTAATACAAGGATTCTTAACGTGTACACGATCACAAGTCCCTTATGGAGTACCCATAACCCTTCACCAGACTGTTGATATCACCACCTCCACCAGTCCTGTCTAGTACCAGTTTGATTTCAACAGTTTTCTGCAAAAAGTGCCGGACCAACCGGGTTGAAGTGATGTGGGCCAGCGGGCCGCTCCAAGCAACAGCCTGGTGGACCAAACTCTCACAAGTCAAGCCTGGCCTCGGGCCGGGCTTGGGGAGTAGAACAACTCCCAGAACCCCATCAACTGGGAGTCGGTCGGCCGAGCGGACAGCACGCTGGACTTGTGATCCTGTGGTCCCGGGTTTGATCCCGGGCTCTGGCGAGAAACAATGGGCAGAGTTTCTTTCACCCTATGCCCCTGTTACCTATCAGTAAAATAGTTACCTGGGTGTTAGTTAGCTGTCACGGGCTGCTTCCTGGGGGTGGAGGCCTGGTCGAGGACCGGGCCGCGGGGACACAAAGCCCCGAAATTATCTCGAGATAACCTCAAGATAACCGAACCAGATATGGGTACCCAGGCCCTTGCCCGGACCGAGCATAACGATGCCTTTCATTATTTTAAACTGTGTATTTATACCGTTTATATATCGTTAAATCTGGAAGTAGAATAAGTAAGAAGTTAATAGATCTGAAGAAGTTAAGTAGACCTCGACTCGGCCGAGCAGGCGTACGAAGTAAACCTCGACTCGGCCACAGGTAACGGTAACCCAACCTGATCCTGGCCACCACTGTGTCGCACAGTCTGGTCGACGTTTTGTGCTGCCCATAAATATAGGTTTCAGATCTGAACAAATCATAGGTGCCATAGGCACAATCAGAGAACACTGTATAAACATCAGAGGTCCGCGGTTATTCAACATCCTCACAGCGAGTATTAGAAATATTGCCGGAACCAACGTGGACGTTTTCAAGAGAAAACTGGATAGTTTTCTTCAAGAAGTGCCGGACCAACTGGCCTGTGGTGGGTAAGTGGGCCTGCGGGCCGCTCCAAGCAACAGCCTGGTGGACTAAGCTCTCACAAGGGAAGCCTGGCCCCGGGCCGGGCTTGGGGAGTAGAACTCCCCCCCCCCTCCCCGTCCCACCCTCCCCCCCCCCAAAAAAAAAACATCCAGGTACAAGTCATAGCTTTTTATACTGGTGCATTCAGGCCGTTGGGGATCAGTAATTTCCCTCCTATCGTACTCGAGTGTTTGGGACAATATAGGCTTGAGAGCAGAGATGGGGGATACCTGGGTCTAATTCAGCATCTTCGTTACACGCTAATTTGGCTGCAATGTCTGTGTCATCATGATGGGTTATATTTGTGAGATGGTATTCATTCAAAAGGAGATTCGAAGACCTTTACTTTATGCAGTGATCAGGATATTTATAATTGCTAATATGAGGTTCTTGCTGTCGATCTTGCAGGAGAAGTTTTCAACTGCTTGAAGAGCAGACTTTTAATCACAAAATATTATTATTCCTCCTGTGTTTTTGAATGTACTGGTAGCTAGTTGTAGTGTTAGCTAGCTAGCACTACAACTAGCTAACTTGTGTGGAGGTCAGCCAATTGTTTAATCTGACACTGATAGTCTGTTTGCAAATATTTTTCGCTATTAAACCTACATGCTGCTGCAGTCCGTCCAGTAGACGACTGGACTCAGCCGTCGGTGTAGAGAAAGTGTTCGTGAGATCGTTAATTTGTTACGGAGGAGGCAATTGTTTTAAGTGTGACAGGTTTGAGAAGAGCAAGATTCTCATTACCTTTCTTGGTGACAGGTGTGTATGATACTTAAATGGTGGGGTACAGATAATATCAGACAGGTAGATTGCATTTAAAAGGAATGTTCAGCTTGAATTAGATTGTAGGCATTTTTACTCAACCATTTGTAATAAAAGGAGTGATTTGGTATGTCGGCACCAGTCAATAGGGTGTTAACAGCACATAATAATTTGTCTCTGAGCAATGCAGGAGATGTAGGGTCTCTCATGACTTTTAAGGCAAAAGGCCGTGTTGACTTGCATGATTCTCACTAGTATGGTTGGAAGCTTCAGTTCTTCCCTAATGTTAATTCTAGGGCATCTTGGGGCACCGAGAGTTACCCTCATGGCTTCATTTTGTATTGTTTCTAGTTTGTTTAAACTAGAAGTTAACACAGGCGGGAAGTTAATTAGGTGCAAGGTATGATAATCAACTGGAGATCTAACATCATGTAGAACAAAATATTCTGACATCTGTTTCAATTGTTGAAGTCTTTCAACAATTGAACCTACGATATAGGTCGTTCACAACATCACTGTTGATACCTTCTCCAAGGTATTTGTGCTGTCTGTCCCTTCGTCCTCACTATCCCTTCTCCCTTCCCTTAACAGTAGTCGTCACAACTGCAAGAAAAATGACAGGTTGGATAACAAGAACTTTTCACACTAGAGATGCTATACCGATGATGATACTTTTCAAGACGATGGTGCTCTCTAGAGTAGAGTACTGCTGCACAATGACAGCCCCTTTCAAAGCTGAAGAAATTGCTGACCTGGAGAGCGTGCAGAGATCCTTTACTGCTAGAATTCACTCGGAAAAACATCTAAACTATTGGTATCGACTATAAAGAGCCTAAATCTATTCTCTTGAGCGCAGGCGGGAGAGATACATAATAATTTACACGTGGAAAATATTCAAGGGGCTGGTCCCAAACCTGCACACAGAAATAACACCACATGAGACCAGAAGACATGGCAGGATGTGCAGAATACCCCCGTTGAAAAGTAGAGGTGCAACAGGTACTCTGAGAGAGAACTCGATCAACATCAGAGGCCCGAGACTGTTCAACACGCTTCCACTACACATAAGGGGCATAACTGGCCGACCCCTCACAGTGTTCAAGAGAGAACTTGACAAACACCTCCAAAGGATTCCTGATCAACCAGGCTGTGACTCATACGCCAGGCTGCGAGCAGCCGCGTCCAACAGCCTGGTTTACCAGTCCAGCAACGAGGAGGCCTGGTCGAGGACCGGGCCGCGGGGACACCGAGCCCGAAATCAACGCGAGATAACCGCAAGGTGCAACATTTAGGGTCGAGCTAAGCTCCTAACCCCCGCCTTTCGAACGTTCATAGAGTAATGCAATGGCTCATTTCCCCACGCTTCTGTCATTTCTCTATTTACTTCTAAAACTTTGAATTGAATTAGCTTCCACGACTCGCCAAACCTCTTCCATGTATTGTCAGCGCTAACACTAAAAGTTCTTCCTTTACCAACATACAGTAAGGCCGCCTGACAGCTGGGTAGACAGCGCTTCGGATTCATAGTCCTGAGGTTCTGGGTTCGATCCCCGGTGGAGGCGGAGACAAATGGGCAAAATGTTTCTTTCATCCTGATGCCCCTGTTACCTAGCAGTAAATAGGTATCTGGGAGTTAGACAGCTGCTATAAGGGCTGCTTCCTGGAGATGGAGGCCTGGTCGAGGACCGGGCCGCGGGGACGCTAAGCCCCGAAATCATCTCAAGATAACCTCAAGTAACAGGTGGGGGCCTCACAACCCCGCGATATACACAGTCACATCTGCGCAAGTATTCCCCCCCCCCTCAACCCCCCCTCTCAACCCCCCCCCCTCAACCCCCCCCCCTCAACCCCCCCTCTCAACCCCTCCCCTCAATCCCCCCTCTCAACCCCCCCCTCTCAACCTCCCCCCCTCAACCTCCCCCCCCTCAACCCCTCCCCCCCTAAACCCTTCCCCCCCTAAACCCTTCCCCCCTCAACCTCCCCCCCCCCTCAACCCCTCCCCCCTAAACCCTTCCCTCAACCCCTCCCCCCTAAACCCTTCCCTCAACCCCACCCTCAACCCCACCCCCCTAAACCCTTCCCTCCCCCCTAAACCCTTCCCTCCCCCCTCAACCCCGCCCCCCCAGGTCTAAATAGTAACCACTCTTAGTGTAGACACTTGGCGCCTGTTAATGCCTCGTACAGATGGTATGAAGACCGACTCTTCGTTAACGATGATTGTACACTCTCTCGTTAATAGTCTGCCAAGGAAATATGTGTGTGTGTATACTAGGGAGTATAGCATATTTAACATGTCATTGATAACTGGCAATGATCGATTAATTGATCATTAATGTAACTGACATACGCAGCTTGACTGAAGTCAGGAATAGGCAGGATTTAGTGGACCTCACTGAACAAGACAAGGATATACTATAGGAAGGCAATTTATGAATACACATTTCAGCGAAATTGGTTTATTAAACACACAATTTTTTGGGGATTTTACATTTACTGTTTTTTTTTACATGCTGTATTAACAGTTTATTTTGTGTTTCCTGAGTGACAAACACAAATTTGTTTTAGTGGGTAATTAAGGATATATTTCTTGTAAGGAGAATTTACTGACAGGGTTAATATTATGACGTAATATACATCTGATCACAAGTTGTAGGGCTGGTTCCTGTTGTAGGGCTGATTCCTGTTGTAGGGCTGGTTCCTGTTGTAGGGGCTGGTTCCTGTTGTAGGGGCTGGTTCCTGTTGTAGGGGCTGATTCCTGTTGTAGGGGCTGGTTTCTGTTGTAGGGCTGGTTCCTGTTGTAGGGCTGGTTCATGTTGAAGGGCAGGTTCCTGTTGAAGGGCTGGTTCCTGTTGAAGGGCTGGTTCCTGTTGTAGGGGCTGGTTACTGTTGTAGGGGTGGTTACTGTTGTAGGGGTGGTTACTGTTGTAGGGGTGGTTACTGTTGTAGGGGTGGTTACTGTTGTAGGGGTGGTTACTGTTGTAGGGCTGGTTCCTGTTGTAGAGCTGGTTCCTGTTGTAGGGCTGGTTCCTGTTGTAGGGCTGGTTCCTGTTGTAGGGCTGGTTCCTGTTGTAGGGCTGGTTCCTGTTGTAGGGCTGGTTCCTGTTGTAGGGGCTGGTTACTGTTGTAGGGGCTGGTTCCTGTTGTAGGGGCTGGTTACTGTTGTAGGGCTGGTTCCTGTTGTAGGGGTGGTTCCTGTTGTAGGGCTGGTTCCTGTTGTAGAGCTGGTTCCTGTTGTAGGGCTGGTTCCTGTTGTAGGGCTGGTTCCTGTTGAATAGCTGGTTCCTGTTGTAGAGCTGGTTCCTGTTGTAGGGCTGGTTCCTGTTGTAGGGCTGGTTCCTGTTGTAGGGCTGGTTCCTGTTGTAGGGCTGGTTCCTGTTGTAGGGCTGGTTCCTGTTGTAGGGCTGGTTCCTGTTGTAGGGGTGGTTACTGTTGTAGGGCTGGTTACTGTTGTAGGGCTGGTTCCTGTTGTAGGGCTGGTTCCTGTTGTAGGGCTGGTTCCTGTTGTAGGGCTGGTTCCTGTTGTAGGGCTGGTTCCTGTTGTAGGGGTGGTTACTGTTGTAGGGCTGGTTCCTGTTGTAGGGGCTGGTTCATGTTGTAGGGGTGGTTACTGTTGTAGGGCTGGTTACTGTTGTAGGGGCTGGTTACTGTTGTAGGGCTGGTTCCTGTTGTAGGGCTGGTTACTGTTGTAGGGCTGGTTCCTGTTGTAGGGCTGGTTCCTGTTGTAGGGCTGGTTCCTGTTGTAGGGCTGGTTCCTGTTGAAGGGGTGGTTACTGTTGTAGGGGTGGTTACTGTTGTAGGGCTGGTTCCTGTTGTAGGGCTGGTTCCTGTTGTAGGGCTGGTTACTGTTGTAGGGCTGGTTACTGTTGTAGGGCTGGTTCCTGTTGTAGGGCTGGTTCCTGTTGTAGGGCTGGTTCCTGTTGTAGGGCTGGTTCCTGTTGTAGGGCTGGTTCCTGTTGTAGGGCTGGTTCCTGTTGTAGGGCTGGTTCCTGTTGTAGGGCTGGTTCCTGTTGTAGGGCTGGTTCCTGTTGAAGGGGTGGTTACTGTTGTAGGGCTGGTTCCTGTTGAAGGGGTGGTTACTGTTGTAGGGGTGGTTACTGTTGTAGGGCTGGTTACTGTTGTAGGGCTGGTTCCTGTTGTAGGGCTGGTTCCTGTTGAAGGGCTGGTTCCTGTTGAAGGGGTGGTTACTGTTGTAGGGCTGGTTACTGTTGTAGGGGTGGTTACTGTTGTAGGGCTGGTTCCTGTTGTAGGGCTGGTTCCTGTTGTAGGGCTGGTTCCTGTTGTAGGGCTGGTTCCTGTTGTAGGGCTGGTTCCTGTTGTAGGGCTGGTTCCTGTTGTAGGGGTGGTTACTGTTGTAGGGCTGGTTACTGTTGTTGGCGTCCCTGTTCTGAACAACGGTGAACAAGGCTCCGAGAGCAATTTATCCGGCGGATAGTTTATGGGACAGTATTCCCGACGTCTAAACGACGTAACTACAGCGTTCTTGCAACGTTATGACGTCTCCTTGACGTAAGAAAACAACGTTGCCAGTTGGGAGTGACAGGCTCTCGTGGCATCGTTGCCAGTTGGGAGTCACAGGCTCTCGTGGCATCGTTGCCAGTTGGGAGTCACAGGCTCTCGTGGCATCGTTGCCAGTTGGGAGTCACAGGCTCTCGTGGCATCGTTGCCAGTTGGGAGTCACAGGCTCTCGTGGCAACGTTGCCAGTTGGTAGTCACAGGCTCTCGTGGCATCGTTGCCAGTTGGGAGTCACAGGCTCTCGTGGCAACGTTGCCAGTTGGGAGTCACAGGCTCTCGTGGCAACGTTGCCAGTTGGGAGTCACAGGCTCTCGTGGCATCGTTGCCAGTTGGGAGTGACAGGCTCTCGTGGCAACGTTGCCAGTGCAGAGCGAGGCACTAGATTAGTGCCGGAGGGTAGAGGAGCTTGTGGGGCTGGCTCGTTGGTAACACTGACTCTGTGTTTCTATGCCTACACGACAATCTTGGTGACGAAGTTCTTGTTTGTTTTGTTTGTATTCACCTAGTTGTGTTTGCGGGGGTTGAGCTCTGCTCTTGCGGCCCGCCTCTCAACTGTCAATCAACTGTTTCTAACTACTGCTTTTGTTTTCTCCACGCCACACACAATCAGGAAGCAGCCCGTGACAGCTGACTAATTCCCAGGGACCTATTTACTGCTAGGTAAGAGGGGCATAGGGGTGAAAGAAACTCTGCCCATTGTTTCTCGCCGGCGCCCGGGATCGAACCCGGGACCACAGGATCACATGCCCAGCGTGCTGTCCGGTCGGCCGGCCGGCCCCGTGCGTGCGCGCGTGTGTGTGTGTGTGTGTGTGTGTGTGTGTGTGTGTGGGGGCGTGTGTGTAATTGCCTAAGTGTAGTTACAGGATGAGAGACAAAACGAAAACGAGACATTGAGAAAACTGTGCACCATCATCGTGAGACCAGGCCTGTAGTATGCAGCGCCCCCTTGGAATTCTCACCTCAAAAGAAACACATAAAAGAAAATTGAACAGTTACATTTGCTTTAATTAAAGGGGGGGGGGGTGCAAGTTCCAGAGATGAGCCGCGGAGATGGAGAAAAGTATTTTTTTTCATTGTAAGAGTAATTGGAGAAAGGAAATTAAGGAGTTGAGTAGCTTTTAGAAGCCACTTCCAGCCACTGTTTTAGAAATGTGTATGACAGGAATAATTCTGGTCGAGTCGCTGGATAACAGCTACCGGCGGCGGCTGAAACAGCGGGGTCCAGGAGCTGACGTTTGATTCTAAAGTCACAAGGAAGTGTATATAAATAGGTGAGCGCGCACACACATTGTGTATGTGTGTGTGTGTGTGTTTTTGGAATTGGAATTGTGTGTACATTTGGAATTGACAAAGTGGAAAAAGATGAAATGTTCACACGTAATAATAACAGAACGAGGGGACATGGGTGGAAACTGTAAACTCAGATGAGTCACAGAGATGTTAGGAAGTTTTCTTTTAGCGTGAGAGTAGTGGAAAAATGGAATGCACTTGGGAACAGGTTGTGGAAGCAAATACTATTCATACTTTTAAAACCAGGTATGATAGGGAAATGGGACAGGAGTCATTGCTGTAAACAACCGATAGCTAGAAAGGCGGGATCCAAGAGTCAACGCTCGATCCTGCAAGCACAAATACTTGAGTAGGTGAGTACACACACACACACACACACACACACACACACACACACACACACACACACATACACACACACACACACACACACACAGTTGTGTGTGTGTGTACTGTACACCAGTTGATTGACGGTTGAGAGGCGGGACCAAAGAGCCAGAGCTCAACACCCGCAAGCACAATTAGGTGAGTAGACACACACACACACACACACACACACACACACACACACACACACACACACACACACACACACACACACACATTTCATCTGTCACGTTTGAGCTACGTTATTAACTCTGCTATTAGCTCAAGGCTTTATTGGGGTCAGGTGTCGGGTTGCACTGTTAAGGTACAGGCCCGTGTCTGTGGTGTTGGTGACGTTAGTGGCGGTGTTGGTGACGTTAGTGCCGGTGTTGGTGACGTTAGTGGTGGTGTTGGTGACGTTAGTGGCGGTGTTGGTGACGTTAGTGGCGGTGTTGGTGACGTTAGTGGCGGTGTTGGTGACGTTAGTGGCGGTGTTGGTGACGTTAGTGGCGGTGTTGGTGACGTTAGTGGTGGTGTTGGTGACGTTAGTGGTGGTGTTGGTGACGTTAGTGGCGGTGTTGGTGACGTTAGTGGTGGTGTTGGTGACGTTGGTGGTGGTGTTGGTGACGTTAGTGGTGGTGTTGGTGACGTTAGTGGTGGTGTTGGTGACGTTAGTGGCGGTGTTGGTGACGTTAGTGGCGGTGTTGGTGACGTTAGTGGCGGTGTTGGTGACGTTAGTGGCGGTGTTGGTGACGTTAGTGGTGGTGTTGGTGACGTTAGTGGCGGTGTTGGTGACGTTAGTGGTGGTGTTGGTGACGTTGGTGGTGGTGTTGGTGACGTTAGTGGTGGTGTTGGTGACGTTAGTGGTGGTGTTGGTGACGTTAGTGGTGGTGTTGGTGACGTTAGTGGTGGTGTTGGTGACGTTAGTGGTGGTGTTGGTGACGTTAGTGGCGGTGTTGGTGACGTTAGTGGTGGTGTTGGTGACGTTAGTGCCGGTGTTGGTGACGTTAGTGGTGGTGTTGGTGACGTTAGTGGCGGTGTTGGTGACGTTAGTGGCGGTGTTGGTGACGTTAGTGGTGGTGTTGGTGACGTTAGTGGCGGTGTTGGTGACGTTAGTGGCGGTGTTGGTGACGTTGGTGGTGGTGTTGGTGACGTTAGTGGTGGTGTTGGTGACGTTAGTGGTGGTGTTGGTGACGTTAGTGGTGGTGTTGGTGACGTTAGTGGTGGTGTTGGTGACGTTAGTGGCGGTGTTGGTGACGTTAGTGGTGGTGTTGGTGACGTTAGTGGTGGTGTTGGTGACGTTAGTGGTGGTGTTGGTGACGTTAGTGGTGGTGTTGGTGACGTTAGTGGCGGTGTTGGTGACGTTAGTGGTGGTGTTGGTGACGTTAGTGGTGTTGGTGACGTTAGTGGTGGTGTTGGTGACGTTAGTGGTGGTGGTGTTGGTGACGTTAGTGGTGGTGTTGGTGACGTTAGTGGTGGTGTTGGTGACGTTAGTGGTGGTGTTGGTGACGTTAGTGGTGGTGTTGGTGACGTTAGTGGCGGTGTTGGTGACGTTAGTGGCGGTGTTGGTGACGTTAGTGGCGGTGTTGGTGACGTTAGTGGCGGTGTTGGTGACGTTAGTGGCGGTGTTGGTGACGTTAGTGGCGGTGTTGGTGACGTTAGTGGTGGTGTTGGTGACGTTAGTGGTGTTGGTGACGTTAGTGGCGGTGTTGGTGACGTTAGTGGCGGTGTTGGTGATGTTAGTGGTGGTGTTGGTGACGTTAGTGGCGGTGTTGGTGACGTTAGTGGCGGTGTTGGTGACGTTAGTGGTGGTGTTGGTGACGTTAGTGGTGGTGTTGGTGACGTTAGTGGTGGTGTTGGTGACGTTAGTGGCGGTGTTGGTGACGTTAGTGGCGGTGTTGGTGACGTTAGTGGTGGTGTTGGTGACGTTAGTGGTGGTGACGTTAGTGGTGGTGTTGGTGACGTTAGTGGTGGTGTTGGCGTTAGTGGCGGTGTTGGTGACGTTAGTGGTGGTGTTGGTGACGTTAGTGGTGGTGTTGGAGACGTTAGTGCCGGTGTTGGAGACGTTAGTGCCGGTGTTGGTGACGTTAGTGGCGGTGTTGGTGACGTTAGTGGCGGTGTTGGCGACGTTAGTGGCGGTGTTGGTGACGTTAGTGGTGGTGTTGGTGACGTTAGTGGTGGTGTTGGTGACGTTAGTGGTGGTGTTGGTGACGTTAGTGGTGGTGTTGGTGACGTTAGTGTTGGTGTTGGTGACGTTAGTGCCGGTGTTGGTGTTGGTGACGTTAGTGGCGGTGTTGGTGACGTTAGTGGTGGTGTTGGTGACGTTAGTGGTGGTGTTGGTGACGTTAGTGGTGGTGTTGGTGACGTTAGTGGTGGTGTTGGTGACGTTAGTGGTGGTGTTGGTGACGTTAGTGGTGGTGTTGGTGACGTTAGTGCCGGTGTTGGTGACGTTAGTGGCGGTGTTGGTGACGTTAGTAGCGGTGTTGGCGACGTTAGTGGCGGTGTTGGCGACGTTAGTGGCGGTGTTGGCGACGTTAGTGGCGGTGTTGGTGACGTTAGTGGTGGTGTTGGTGACGTTAGTGGTGGTGTTGGTGACGTTAGTGGTGGTGTTGGTGACGTTAGTGGTGGTGTTGGTGACGTTAGTGGTGGTGTTCGTGACGTTAGTGGTGGTGTTCGTGACGTTAGTGGTGGTGTTGGAGACGTTAGTGGTGGTGTTGGAGACGTTAGTGCCGGTGTTGGTGACGTTAGTGGTGGTGTTGGTGACGTTAGTGCCGGTGTTGGTGACGTTAGTGGCGGTGTTGGTGACGTTAGTAGCGGTGTTGGCGACGTTAGTGGCGGTGTTGGCGACGTTAGTGGCGGTGTTGGCGACGTTAGTGGCGGTGTTGGTGACGTTAGTGGTGGTGTTGGTGACGTTAGTGGTGGTGTTGGTGACGTTAGTGGTGGTGTTGGTGACGTTAGTGGTGGTGTTGGTGACGTTAGTGGTGGTGTTCGTGACGTTAGTGGTGGTGTTCGTGACGTTAGTGGTGGTGTTGGAGACGTTAGTGGTGGTGTTGGAGACGTTAGTGCCGGTGTTGGTGACGTTAGTGGTGGTGTTGGTGACGTTAGTGCCGGTGTTGGTGACGTTAGTGGTGGTGTTGGTGACGTTAGTGGCGGTGTTGGTGACGTTAGTGGCGGTGTTGGCGACGTTAGTGGTGGTGTTGGTGACGTTAGTGGTGGTGTTGGTGACGTTAGTGGCGGTGACGTAACAGGCATGCCGCCTGTTGACACTGTACAGACTCGACACATTTACGTTTCCTCTTGGTAGTTATCTTGAGATGATTTCGGGGCTTAGTGTCCCCACGGCCCGGTCCTCGACCAGGCCTCCTTTTTGTTACACATCCCGCAGGAAGCAGCCCGTAGCAGCTGTCTAACTCCCAGGTACCTATTTACTGCTAGGTGAACAGGAGCCTCAGGGTGAAAGAAACTCTGCCCCATTTGTTTCCGCCTCCG